ACGTACAATTTACTCTAATAAATAGAATGATCAAAGAGTCTATTTAAATTTAGTCTGTAAAGTAAAACTGAATACAGCGCAATGTATTTACTACGTGAAGCAAAATTATAATATCCTGTGATAGTAAATATGTGCATTATGTTTTATTTTCGTAATAAAATTATATAATAATAAAACATTTTCAGTATGAACTTTAGCCATGGTAAACTTAAATATATTCTTAAAATATACACATTTTTATGATTTTTCGTAAAGTGTAGCGAAACACAAAAACTTTTTTTACATAACAAGTGATGTCTCTTTTCAAATTTTGCAAAGCACATCTACGGCAATATAGTTAACCATCAACGAGCTCGAGGTCTATAAATAATAATTTAGAACGAGGTGTTTTCAATACGTAATTGTTTAAAATTAAAAAATGAGCAACGAGAGTTACCTAACATTGTCGGCTGTTATGAGTTTTTATTTTAAAAAATAACTTTTATATTATTAAGTCCTAAATAGATCAATATTGACCATTTGGGTCTTTCATTAGTAGGGAATCAAAATGCTCTAAAATATCTTACGTATTATAGAATTAATTGAGAAGTAGAATAAATATGATTAAACCAAAAAATGGTATAAAATGATTAAACCAAAAACAATTACGTAGATATTTTCATTCTTACCTGTCATGAATATATAATAAAAGAACCGTAATTACATTTAACTGCATCAACGCATCAACGTACCACATATGTATAAAAAACTGCAAAAACAGATTCATTTTTGACTAGAGTTTCATAAAATTTAAAATTTAGGTTACTAATAAATCCCAACTTACATCTAATGGCATATTGTATAAATTTTGAATATGAAGAATATGTCTCCACCAGTATTGTTCAGCCTTTCTTGCTTCTTTATTTACGAGATCCCAATGTGGTCCTTCGCCACAAAGTGGCAAAATTATGAAGAAAGCCAACACGCACAGCAATGGAAAAGTCAATCTTTAATACAAAATGAGTAAAATTTAAACCACATTTAACAAAACAATTTGTGAAATACTTAATTTAATAAATATAAATAAAGATCTAATTAACCTTATGTATCTTTTCAACAGATAGACGAAGTAGTACAGTATGGATTTGTTTCCATCGTTTCTTCGTAAATAGAATGTTAAGAAACCACTGTACAGAATAATAATTATCAAATTCATTTATTTTACTGTTAAGAAAGATAAGTAAAAAAATACTTAAAATTTTTTAATTGAAAAAAATAATGAAATTTGTTAATTTGTTTGAAAATTAAGATTAAATCTATTCATTTAAATGAAACATAATTCTTAATCTTGTGCACTTTTCTTTTTCTATTACAACTAGATTTTATAATGCATACAGTAAAACCTGTGTAAACTGAAAGAGCAAGTGATCGAATATTTTTCTTGTTTTGAGAGATTCCTTGAACATGTTTAGTACAGTTTTACTTTCTTAGCTGTGATGCATATATAACAAGGGAAAGTATTGGAATCGTATCAAAATTCACCATCCGAGTTTTTTGCCAATCTCTTTGTTTTGAGACCTTTTAAATCAAAAACAGTCAAGAGACAGAAGAAGAATCCCGTAATATGTATATGTATATGTATGGGTATGGGGTGGTATTGAGCTGTAAAATGATGTTAGCACAGTCGCTGATAATTTTACAATAGAGCGTTTTACAAATGTAAAAGTTAATTTTTGTTGAAAAAGATACATACAGAAGTTCGACTTCGGCAGAGAATGGATGGAAAGTTCTTTCTAATACCCAGTCAGAAAGAACTGTCGTATGGAATATGTCCATCTCGAATAAGGAATCCAGCAGTCACAACATTGTGGCAAACTTGTCAACAAGACTTTTTCTTGTTATCATATCAATTGTGTTCTTCCTAAGTTTTAGACACGTGTGTTTAAATGTCCACAAAATACCATGTATAATACCACAGAAATTTTTCTGAACGTTTACAAAACTTTTTGGAATAATAACTTCATGAAAACTTGATCTTAACGTTTTTGAAAGATTTTCCTGATAGTTAATTTGTTAATTTGAAACTTTACAAGATTTTGTGAAGTGATATGTCTTCATATACGCTCCAATAAAGTAGTGTAATAAAATTACTCAAAGATTTAGAGATCGTTTTAAGTTTTTAAGAAATTTTTCTGCAATAAAACTTGCAGGAAATCTTGCTAATGTCTTTGTAGTGTACTTTGTTGTGTTACACTATATTTCTATAATATATTGTAAAAATGAAGAAAAGAGATTATAAAATATAGTGTTATTGTATATAATTTCATTCTTTCAAAAATCTTGAGAACGGGTCTGTAAGTCAATAGCATTTTAGGGATTCAACTTAGAACTTATGAATTCCTACTGTCGTTCATATGCCTGTCTTTCCTTAATCTCAGAACGGTATATAGATGAAAGTCGAGACCAGATATGGAAAGATCAGAAACAGGAGACCTCGATTAATTATATACGAACTTCTGGTCTAGACTGAAAGTCACGTGATTTCAATTGAAAATTTATTCCTACAAAGGAGTTACATAAATGACCCGCATTACTCTGTTCTTATGAGAAATAGCATGATTTATGAAAACACTACTAATTTCAGATCGAGCACATTAATTTAAAATTAATAAAGTAAATATATAAAAAGTTTCAGCCCGACAATGTGACTATGTCAAAGTAATTTTTGCTCGTTTTATTTGAATTTCCAACTAAAACGAGTGACACTAGAACTTTCAAAAATGATTCACTTTAATAAAATATTTATTGTTAATTTTATTGTACTATTACAACAATTTGCTATTAAATATTTAAATTTTAAGGTAAATTACAAAGAGAAAAATCCTATACTTACCTCAGAAAAAAGTATGTTTCTATTAAAGACATTCCTTGTGATGAAATTTCTACAGAAACATCTTCAGATATATTTCCAATATTAAAAAGCTTATCTGAAATATATGTGTAAAGGATAAATAATGTGTTAAATTATTTTTCACTTTTCTTGCAATTTTTAAGGATTTTTTATTTAAAACTATAAATTTACTTGATTGTCGTTCATAGCACTGTGGGATAATAAGTATTTATAAATTAGAATATATAAAATAGATGAAATGTATAAAATCAAATAAAAATAGATAATTTCTTTGAATATTTATAAAAACGTATATACTATAAGATAAATCTATATTTGAATTTCTTATGCCTAAAATACTTTTCAGCTTTGTTTGACAGAACGGCTGAAGTTACAAACATGGTTCAGGTATCAAGATGCCCTGTAGATGAGGGTGTTGAGGAATGATTTAAGAAAGATGCAATAGTTCATGTGTGAAGGAGTGGCAAATCTAAATGTTAAGTCTATGGGAAGCAAGTGCGCTCACATGCCATCCAGACATTTAGAATTTTTAACTATTAGAACCCGTGTTTCACCTCATATGAACTTCTGAATTTTTGCTTATGATTACTAAATTGCCTATCTGTGACCAGGATGGAAAATAATAATAAGCCACATGGTATCAAAAAATAAGTAGAGTTAAGTGTTTATTTGTTGGAGGAACCACAAAATATCACATGCTCTACTGATTATTTTTGAACCTTAAATTTTCAATGATCTCATTTATTACACTTTAATTAAAGATAATAGTCAATTTTGATGGGTTCCAATTAGTATGGTAATGAATTATGCTAAAAATAAAATTTTCAAAGGTAATTAATTTAATTACTTAAATAAAGACATTTAGATTTAAATAATAGTCTAATGATAATAAATTCAATTAAATTTACTCAGCTCTTTCTCTCTAACTAAAAAAACTCAGCAACCAGTTGCTTAACTTTCTCAGTAACATTTAAAACTGCAGGTGTGGCGCCATCTGCTATGACATTTTATTAAAATACTCTTTAATTAAAAAAATTATTTTAAGGAAAGACGAAAGTAAATCTTAGAAGTCAAAATAAAAACGCTATATAACTGAACCCGATATGGTGTAATTATTATCCAACTGAATCAAGTGTTTAGACTTATTTAAAATGATAACAGCTCTAAACACAGGTGTAATTAGGAAAATATAAAAATAACTATGAAAACATATGCAGATTACAACAAACTTTTAACACAAAATGTGCTGCAAGAACTTTAAACTTTTGATAAAGATCTTGGAAATAAGAAAAAGTAATGGCAATATTTCTGGGTTTTATTCATATTTTTAATTTGTTTAATTTAAAATATATTTTATTGATCTCTAATTAGTAGTATCCTGTCCCTGTACATAATACTTTTCCTGATGACAACACAATTACGCTAGTCATTTCTGTAACTCTATTCAAGAAAAAATTTTAAATTGAAAACGTAAATTTAGGGCTAGACCAAAAAGTTCGTGTATAATTAATCGGGGCCTCCTGCTACTGAGTTTTTCATATCTGGTGCTGAAAATCACCTATCTAACACTGTTCTCGAGATTAATGAAGGACAGATAGAAAGTAGAAATTTAAAGGTATACAATTTTTTTTTTTTTAAATTGCAGCCCAATAAATATTAGAAATTATCTACGAAATTTATACTGTAATTTATTTTCACTTACCTGTTACTGTATATACCAATCCCGCATATACCAGTATATGAGCAAATACAACAGGGTAGATAAGTAAACATTTAATTCCACAAAAGAATCTTGTCTTGTCATTCAAGTCGGTATTAAAAATCTTTTGGATTGATGTATGTAACGAAACTGCAAGAAAACTGTGTAGAAAGTCTCCTAAAAATAAAAAAAAACCGAACATTTTCGGAAACTAATAATAATAATTGAAATTAAAAATATATCTAATTAACGATATTATTAATGTAAATTATTAAAAACTCATAATAGCAAATATGATTTTTACAGTCATTTTTAAATTTTTATTTAGATAAGGATGCTTACAGAAATAACATTAAATTTATCTCTTTTAGGACAAACTAACTTTTATTTTTCTTTAAAATTTCTAATTTTATACCTTTAAATTATTACAAACATAAGCTATTAAATTGGGTAAAGCAAATTAAACTAATAATATGAAAATTATAAATACTTTTAAACGATACTTCATATTGCAGGTATTTCTAACGACGTACTTATTAACTTAGTATTTAAAATAATTGCATAGTTAAATATGATAAAGTATTGCTGTAAATTGTCAAAATTTTCAGCATAAACAAATTCTCAACATTGATGACGTAAAGTTTATAACGCAGAGTGTAAAATATTTTACAGCATTAAGTATAGAAAATACAATAATTATCAGTAAAGAATTTAGCCTACACTATTAAACAACTTTTATCACTAAAATTTCTGTGATCTCATTTTCCAGAAATATCAAATTAGAAATTAATTATGACAATACCTTTATTGCAATATACATTAATAATATTAAATTTAAATAGAGTTTCAAGAATTGTTGCAACAATAACCCACGTGATGAAGATGCTGATCGCAATTCTGAAAATATAAAATAAAACTTCATTAGTAATATAATTATATAAGCATGTTTAAAACATTTATCATGTATTTTACGAATGAATATTATTTTCCTAATTTGTAGGCAAATTTTTAGAAATCTTTTCATAATTTCACATTAGAGAAATTACTTGTATTGATGGAAATTAGGTTATGCAGCAATACAAGAGCAATATACTAAACTTTGGGAAAACCTTTTATGCGTAATTTGTCTGTTGTGTTAAAGAAGTGAGAATAAAACCGAAAAATTTCTCGCGCCACCCGTTGCTTACATTCAACTTGATTATCACTCGAATAGTGGCGAAATTCTCATTAAAAGCCACGTTTTCCTGGAGGACCGACAACGAGTTTCTTTAGAACATTTAATCAAGCCAGTACAGTAAGGAAACTATTTGTAAATTTGTCATCTATAAGCTAAATTATTACCTTAATATAAGATTAAATTTTAAATATTCATAAGAAAATCGTAATTAATTAGTTACACGTTTAAAGAATATTAATAAATTTATTTTTATAAAATATATAATAAAAATATTTCAAAAATATCTTGTAAGTTTCATTTTCTATTTAGTCAGGAGAATAAAATATTATAGACACTTACATACAAATTATTTGAGTTGTATGAATTGTAATCTTCTGGTCTTTTACTTTGCAGAAGTTTACATTTGCCCTGTAAGGATCTCTGAATGCTAAAACACATCAATAATCACACAGATTATAAAAACGATAAAATAATTGCTAACTATTTTTAATTTGAAATTTGCTATGCTAAATATTATGTATAATATCGTGTGTGAATTTTAAGAATAGTTCTTACGCGATATTGGCAAATTACTCAATTTGCTTGAAATATTACCTTAGACATGCAATCTTTCAATAAAATAATATATTTAAATTTAAACAGTACAGATTATACTAATAGTATCATATTTGCAGCTGCAAAGTAACGATTATACAATATCAAAACATATTATAAATGATATCTTTATAATCGAAAAAGCTGTCTGTCCGTAGGCATTAATTTACCTAGATCCATCTCGACTTCAGTCAGACTCAAAATAGGAAAATGAGTGGTGACGTACGAGCCCGATGTGTAAGAATAAAAGATAGCAAGTGTTTACTAACTCTGATTTGTTCTCAAGTTCCACAAATTAGCACATTTGTGCCTTTACCACTTTGGCCATCTACAGCTTTCATACGAAAATTAGTGTTATGGTACGTTCTCTCAAGGAGTAAACCAGTAACTTGCCCTTTCTAGGATCGAGTAAAAAGTTTCAAAGTTATAAATGTAAAAATGATTGAGATATGTAACTTTATACCCTCGACCACAAGACTGTATTTTATAACATATCTGTGAAAACCACAAAAACTTAAATAATTAAATAATTTAGATGACAACAGAGTGAAGCCGATCATGTATTATATATATTTTATTATATTACAGTAATTTTTTCCATTTAGTATCAAATTTTATTAGTAACATGATTTCAATTTCAAACTTTTCTCCATTCTGGA